GCAACTATCGCAACCAGCGTATAGCTATTCTCAGTGATAGTCAAGCGGCRYTAAAAGCGATCTCATCCTACGAGACCAAATCGCTTCTAGTCGAGGAATGCGTAGAACGGCTAAACCGCCTGTCCTTGTGCAAAGGGGTGCACCTAATGTGGGTACCAGGGCACAAGGGAGTAGAAGGTAATKAGAARRMMGACGAACTGGCCCGCACTGCAGCAGCGTCAAAGATGTTGGGACCGGAGCCATACAKAGCGGTARRACCCCACACTCTTAAAGAGCTGCTCCGCACGGAGGAGAGTGGAAAGAGAACGGCAGTGGCGACAAGCAGCAAGTATGCGCCACGCCAAGCTGCTTCTAGGAGGATACAACCTCCCCAGATTTAAAGAACTAAGTCACCTCCCCCGTGAAAAATTCCGCCTCCTCGTCGCAATCTACACAGGGCACTGTAAGCTCAGGAAGCACCTGTCCAAAACAAAAAAAAAAAACAAAAACACACATTATCTTTAAAATCAATTATTCCGTGCCGTGCACTTTGACGTAATCTCAGAGATATACTCTATATCATATAGAATTAAATCCACACTTGTAATAAGTAAATATTGTTAAAGGTAAAAAATGTTAAGCAGATACTATCAAAATACTCGAGGGTTAAGAACAAAATTAAAAGAGTTCTTAATCGCATCAGCAGGGCAACAATGTGACTTGATTTGTGTTAGCGAGTCATGGCTTCATGAATCGATATCAGTTAGTGAAGTGGTGGACGATACGTATTTAATATTTAGGAAAGATAGAGACAACCATAAAAGCAATTGCACAAGAGGTGGAGGTGTTTTCATTGCTGTGAAGCGTAGTATTAATGCTGAGCTACTGCCAAGTAACTGTAGTAGAGTCGAGCAAGTTTTTATCAAAGTAAAATGTACTGAGGGCGATCTATTAGTTGGATGTGTGTATCTTCCGCCACTGCCGTCGTTGGATAAGTATGTGAGTCATGTCAACAATTTCATATTTGAAGGAAAAATATCCCAACTGTGCATTGATTACACTGGTGAACGCCACTATCCAATTTCAATGTGGAATTGCTCGCTGATTTCGAAAATCGAATAAATTTTTTTTTTTTATGGATACGTTTTGGAGATATTTGCAATTTACCGTTATTCGACCAAAAAAAGGTGTCTTCATGTAATCATGTATATCTCACTGACCAGTTGAGCAATCTTACTGCAAATTATAGAAAATAAAAGTGAATGAAATTTCCTTGAATTTTTCTTTGGATAATTCCAAATCTCTAATCCAATCGTTTAGTTGCGCTTGTGATTCTCTCGTTTTCCATTAAAAATTCATTACAAGTTGATTTCTCATATTCAGGTGATCTTTCAGATACTCCTGTTGACAACGAAACTGGATACGCAACTTCAGCTGAATGTGGAACTGGCAATGAAACGATAGGTACGTTAGCATAAATCACTTTTCTTGATTTTCCAAAGCCAAGTACTTTTGTCATACAAATATAACAATCTTCTGAGTGGCATGTAGGTTCTCGCCATATCATTGGTACATTAAATTTCATGTATCGCCTGAAAAAGAAAAAAATTAAAAATTACCGTTAAATAAAAAGAAGCATGGTTTCATAATTTTAATACGTACTTTGTTGGTCCTGATTCCCATTCAACCAATATTATTCGACACAAGGAACACAAAATATTCGGAATTCATGGTTTATCAATATTTTTAGGCTCAATACCAAAATATTTTGAATATAGAGTTTGGATCGAATCTCTAAACTGCCTCCGATGCCGTACAAGARTATATTCACCGCATATGTAACAGAACATATCCGGATCGTTGGTACACTCAAATTCTCGCGTACTTTTACTCATTTTATTTTTAAAAATAGCTCACGGTTTCTTATATTGTAATTATAAACTGGAACCGGCGAGCCTTACAGATGTTATGAACTTTCAAGGGGCATTTATCCTTATATATAGCTTAATCGCGAAAAAATAAAAAAGGCAAAGCCTACCTAAACAAAAAAGTTCCTTGATATTAACGAGCCGGGAAAAGAAAATACTACCTGCTGCTGATGTTGGCCTTAAAAAAATTAATGAATTTACCAAGATATGTGTGTGTGCATGTATGTAGGCATGTTTGAATTAAATTTATTTGCATTAGGAATTTTCCGCAACTAATTACCCTTCGAAAATCTGCCTGTATACCTACACACATGTTAAGCAAATTAACATGACTACRGGSKTTTCGAACCTGACACCTCTTGCTTTCGATGCAAACTACCTACAACAGAATTTGAGTATTACTGTTCTAAAAGTATTATTTGATTTTTTAAACGAACAGCGTTATTAGTTTATTCTAATGATATTCGAAAACAATCCCACCCCTACTTTACACACTACATACGCATATACGTATACATTGACTTTGCGCATCTGGATATATTTATTTGTTATCTTTTGTTTTAAAATTTTTTCCTTTCCAAAGTTTATTTTTCATAAAAAAATTTAAAAACACAAACTGATTAATCAATTTCTCAAAAATTATTAGGCCTATGGAAAAATGGAGTAGACAATATTTTTAGGAAATTTCATTCACTTTTATTTTCTATAATTTGCAGTAAGATTGCTCAACTGGTCAGTGAGATATACACGATTAAATGAAGACACCTTTTTTTTTTTTKGTCGAATAACGGTAAATTGCAAATATCTCAAAAACGTATCCATAAAAAAAAATTACTCGATTTTCGAAATCAGCGAGCCATTTCACATACAAATTGGATAGTGGCATCCGTGGAACAAAAAACAAATGCAAATTTGTGATCCAGTGTTATCGGTGGCGACTATAATCTCCCCAGTAGCTGTCCTCAAGATGAATGTGCAAATATGGTATATAGTGAGATGAGTGTGGCTAACTGTCAACAGTATAATCTAATTCGTAATGTAAATGATCATCGTACGCTTGACTTATGTTTTAGCAGCGTTGATGTATGTGTGGACAGTACCGAGTCTATTATTGATGAAGATAAGCACCACCCGGCTGTAAGTATACGTGCTGAGATTAAGGCCAACCTAAAAATGAATTGAATGACTTCGTTTTGAGGAGTAACTTAATTGGAATGTATAAGTTAGTATCACTGGATGACAAGGTAAACTGGTTATACGAGAGAACTAATGATGGAATTGTGCAATTTGTTCCTGTCCATAGTTGTTGTTGTTGTTGTAACGGCAGAAATTCTGCCGAGTTGACAGTCCTTGCCCGGATAAAAATCCCGATCCGTTCCGGTTTTCGTAGACCCGACTGTCGTGCGAACGGGTTACGTCTACAGTGTTTTTCGTCGATTGCGGTCGGAATGCTAAAGAATCGGCAAAGGGTGTTACAGCGCATACACGTCCAGGGTGGAGGAGCTTATACGGGTGGATTCGAGTCAGTTTTGGAAATTCGTCAAAAGCAGGAGACGGAACAATATGGATATTCCATCCTCCGTGTCGTCGAAAGATAGTGTAGCTACGACGGGTGGGGAGGTGAGCAATCTGTTTGCTACGGAGTGGCGGGAAATGTATTGAGTTGGTTTAACTCGTACTTGACTGGGAGATTCCTGCAGGTGCGAGTCAATGGCTATGTGTCGTCCGAGTTTAAAGTGTCGCCCGGGGTCCCATATGGGGCTCTTGTTTAGCATATTTGTCAACGACATTGGGGACAAAATATCGTCGGAACATTTGATATGAATATGACATCAAGATTTTCAGGAAGATAAGCACTGTCGATGATATCAGTGCACTACAGCAAGACCTTGATAGACTTGAGGAGTGGTGCGACAAAAATAAATTGAGTTTTAATTTAAAAAAGTGCGTGGTCTTGTCACGGTCCTTGAGTCGTCCTCCAGCTGTTTACCGTATCGCTGATCATCATTTAGAAGAAGTCACAGTGGTAAAAGATCTTGGTGTCATGATTGACAATGCACGAAATTTCGCCGGGCACATTGACAAAATTACATCAAAGACATACAGGACACTTGGGTTCATATTCAGATGTGGGGATGACTTCGGAATGGTGATACGTTCGTAAGGCTGTACTCGACCTTGGTGCGTCCGATGTTGGAGTATTGTTCGTTGCTTTGGTCTCATCATACCGACTGTCTCATTGACAAAGTGGAGAGAGTGCAGAAGAAACTCTGTAAATATGTCGCGTACTTCCTGGGACGTAAAGGATGAGTCAGAGGGTAGAAAGATGTTCGTGGTCAATTTGGGATTTGTGACCTGATGAGCCGGAGACAAGTATCAGATCTCTCGATTGCTTTTAAATCATTAAATGGATTAACTGACTCTCCGGAAATTTTGTAACAATTCCGCCTTGTAGGCCGTATGCCTGGGTTGAGGTCGCATAGACTGTTAAAAACAGCCAACTCTTCGAAGAACTATGTGCGGGGTGGACCGAGGAACAGGGTCGTAAACTTAGTCAATAGATATTATCAGACATTAATATGTTTGGTTGTACGTATGCAAGCTACGTCTCAAGGGTTAAGGGGTTAATAATGAATCATTAATGTGTGATTTGTGATCAAACATAGTCAAAATTCACTCTCCTGATGTTAATACGTTAGTATGCGTGGTTGTACTCGTGAGAATTAGGTTACATGAGCAAGCTTTAAGCTAAGTAGATACACCAAGATATTGATTTGTGGAATATTCATAATTAAGTCTCGTTTAAATACTTATATGCCTTGTCCTTCTTTTTTGCTATACTTCTTTGTATATAGCTGATTGGCGTGAGTATTAATAAATAAATAAATAAAATTAACCTATGACATTCTAGCTAGCCCAGTTGGTTTGGTACAATTTTTTGTGAAACTACTTTTCAAATGTTGCAAGTTTTGCGCTTTCTTTGGCAATGTTAATTTTTTTAACTTTGAATTTTGATATACTAGATGCTGGGCAGTTTGCATTACCGAAAAAGCGCCTTTCATGATACCAAAATGTAATACATCATATACTCACTTTGTTCCTCACGTATTGTACGGCAGCGAGCTCCTAAGTAATTTCGTAAATTAACTGCATGTATTGCAGCACAAGCGCGCTTGTCAAGTGTTGCTTCATTACCAATCCAAAAATAGATTTTCCATGCTAATTGTCCTAATTCATCAAAATAAGTTTTAAGTACTATATAACAATCTCCTTCATAAAATTTTCCATGAGCTACTTCTTCAATTTTGTTTGGTAGAAAGTTTTCTATTTCCCATATGGTTAGACCAGGAAACTGGCCGTCTTCTTTTTCAAAGAATTTTGAATAATCCAAATGCGGCTTTACCAACGATTCATCCCAACGCTTTGGCTTTAGCGATTCAGGTTGTAAGTTGTCAAATGAATTTTTGGATTCATCTTTTTCTTTGGCTATGTCTTTCATACCTTTCAATATTTTAGCAGAATCCTGTTCAGAATCGGCCCGAGGACCGCGACGAAGTCGTATTTTGCGCGCAGTGGAGTCTTTAGCTCCAGATCCAGTCGGCATTGAAGTAGGGGATGCAGCACCAGCAAGTAACAATTGAGTTTGCAAAGAAAAATCAATGTTATAAAACTCTATACCAGCCCCTTTAACAGCTTCGCACGGTTTTGGTGGCATAATTAAATCAGGGTTATTTCGTAAATCCAGCTGATCTAAGCCATCAAGCAAATGAACGGCGTCTGGCAACGTTATGAGCTTATTAGAACTTAAATTTAGTTTTTTTAACGCCCCGCAACGACATAAACCTTCCGGTATCATCTCCAACACATTATTAGAAGCAGAAAATACCTCCAGTGAACATAATTTACCTATGCCGGAAGGAATTCCATCAAAATCCAAATGATTATCGTTTATAAACAGACGACGAAGATACGTTAATTTACATATAGACGCTGGTAGCGCAGTTAATTGATTCCGTGATAAGTTAAGTATTTCAAGCTTTTGCCACAACTCAATACTACAGCTTAATTCAGAAATGAGGTTGTCACTAAGATTAATGCGTTTCAAATTTGGCAAATTATATACACAATCTGGTATTTTTGGTAACATATTTTTTGAGATATCTAATTCAGATAAATTTGACAAACTATCCAACGTAGTGGGGAAGTTTAATAAAGTACGTTGTGTGTTTCTCATGTTCAAACTTTCCAGATTTTGAAGAGAGGGTAATTGCCGAAGCTGAAACAATTCTAAAGGATTATTCGATAAATTTAAAGTTTGTAAATTCGCGAGTCGACGTGTTTGCGGAGGTAATGTTTCTAAACGATTGTTTGAAAGATCAAGAAAAAGTAAATCAGTTAAATTAATGAATAAAGCTGTGGGAATGGATTCTATTTGATTATTGCTTAAATTCAATACTAAAAGACTTTTAGCACGTTCTAATCCTTCAGGAATTTCTTTAAGCTTATTATGTGATAAGTCCAAAGTCGTTAACTCTTCTAACCGGAAAAGTTCAGGAGGAATTCCGCTATTTTTAATTTGATTGTGTCGAAGGTTTAACGAACGTAAGCAAGGCAGTCCTGTTAATTCTCCAAATAGCTTTTCCAATTCATTACTTTTCAAAGACAGATGTTCTAATTTAAATAAGTTTCCAAGTTCTTCAGGTATTTCATGAAGATTTGTGTTGTCTAACGTTAGCCATTGTACCCTATTCATCTCTTTAATAGCAACCGGAAACTTAGAGTTCTGCATATGTATATAAAAAAAGAGTGATTTATATGTACATTTATATATTTCCTCTTTTATATGGAGTCTATATTTAATAGATAAATTGTATATATAAGACTTACACTGAAATCATTTTTAGAAAAGTCAACGCCACGGACAAATGGCAAAACTCCAGTAGCCATATTTCCCTATATTCCTCTACAATTATATTTCAGCCTACACTTTCAACAAAAGGTAAACTAATACTAAACCCAAGTTTTTGTTAATAATGATTGATTTATCGATAAAGAATATTATTTTTATATAAAAATATCGATGATTTTTTTTTATCGATTTAGCAAAAAACAAGTTGACCCGTAACGGGGCATCTCCACTGGCAAAAATTTATGGCATACTACCTGTCAAATCTATTGTTATTGCCAAATGTGTATGTGGGCATTTAGTACCATAACTGTTCGCATGAGTAATGAACATTCCGCAACATCTCACGTCACAACACCTCACCACACAGCACACGCCCCTAGACACACATCAAACATCACAACCACACGATCATCAACGGGACGACTGGTAATAATCTAATATTCACCACCCAAACTATCAAAAGGGATAGATCCGACCGGTATCGGTTTCTTACCATTTTCATCCAAAAGCAAGATGGTCGACGGCAAATTCCCACGACAGCCGGTTCTACGTACCGGAATTGACTCGGATTTCATCCGACCATGGGCTGTCCTTTCGGCGATCNGCAAGATGGTCGACGGCAAATTCCCACGACAGCCGGTTCTACGTACCGGAATTGACTCGGATTTCATCCGACCATGGGCTGTCCTTTCGGCGATCGAACCCCGTTTGGATCGGTGAATGTTAATCTGTGTGTGTCGTCCTGACTCGTGCTGCCATTGAGTCCAACCCGGGCCCGGAGGAATTCTT